GCGGGGGCACAGCGTCTGGCTCGGTGAGGTGAACGGGAGGGTTGAGGAAGCCCGGGCTGAGCACGGGGCCCAGAACATTCTGGAAACTCCCCTGCTGCACATGTCCCTGGAGTGCGCCATCTTTGCCCGGGGGCGGGGGATGCGGGCGCTGAGGGCAGGGGGAGGGGCGGAAGGCGGTCGGGGACGCGAGAGTCAGGGGCTCCTGGGTCTTTGCTCAGATCTGGGGCGGGGTCTTTGCTCAGCTCTTGAAGGTGAACAGGAGGGTTGAGGAAGCTGTGGCTGAGCGCCAGGCCCAGAACATCCTGGGAAAGGCCCTGCTGCACATGTCTGCGCATTGCGCCATCTTTGCCGGGGTGGGGGAGGGGAAAGGGGGCCACGGTGACCAGAGACATCTGGGATCTCTTCTCTAGTCTTGGGAGGGTACGGAGAGCATCTGGCTCCCTGAGGTGAACATGAAGCTAAACGCCGAGGAACTCGCGGCTCACGGGCCAGAACATCCAGGAAAAGCTCCGGCTGCACATGTCCTGGGTTGAGCCATGTTTGCCTGAGGATCGGGGCATGCGAGAGCGCGAGGCGGGGTGGGCAGTGACCGGAGATTCAGACCCTTCTGGGGTCTTTGCCCAAATCTTGGGTGGGAGCAGAGAGCGTCTGGCTCTGTAAGGTGAATGGAGGGGCTGAAGATGCCGCAGCCAAGCGCCAGGACCAGAATATTCTGGGAAAACTCCCTGCCATACATGTTACAGGAGTGCGCTATCTTTGCCCATGGGCAGGGGGTGGTGACAGGAGCTTCTGGCTCTTTGAGGTGAATGAGAGTGCTCAGGAATCTGCGGCTGACAGCTGGGATCTGAACATTCTGGGAAAGCCTCTGCTGCTAGCCCTGCAGGTCCAAGTGCTGAAATCAAAGAAGCGGCCCCTGTGCCCTCTCTGTGTCTGGCCAGTACAGTCCAAAGCTTCCTTGAGTGTGGCTTCAAATCTGGGGACAGATATACAGCTGGCTTAGTAGGTATGGACAGGGCTATGGGAGCCCTGAGGTCCTTTGGCCCAGAGAACTCCGTTTTGTGGTCCAGGGTTACATTAAGGAGCTGAGAGGGCCCAGAGACAGGCTGAGAGCAGAGTGTGGGAATGCTTTCCCAGGGGCAGGGTGCTGCACTAATTCCTAGTCTTTCTCTTATCTGCTTTGATCCCCAGAGCAGACTTGTCTGGGACTCCACCCCTTCCTGCCAGGGTTCTCTGCCTTCCTCTGCAGAGAGCAGACCCAGGAGGGAGCCTGCAGGACACCAGAAAGTCAGAGCCTTGGGGTGAGCAACACACTCAGGTAAGCTCTCTGGCCTGTGTGCCAGC